CCCCTAATAAAAGGTATTTGCCTAAGCAAACGCTTGCGCGGGAAGACGGGTGGACGCCACGCCGCAAGAGCGGGGTCTGGATGCTGCAGAGACCTGCCGTGGAAAAAATGTGGGAAAGGACCAACCTCCGAGCCTCAGGTTTTCCTCCTCTTCCTCCCGCAGAGCCGGCGAGTCCTGCCGCACACGCTACTGAAAGGGAACTGCCCCATCCATTCTCCTTTGCGGTTTATTACTACACTGTCAGAGGCTATTGTCCTCTACGTGCAATGGATGCTGGCGGTGCTGCTTCTCGCTTAGACAGAAAGAAGACGAAATTCCATTCGTTTACATGTTTTATTGTTGTAAACATTAAAATTGTCTTTCTCAAAGAAAGAGTTATCAGGAGGAAAAAAAAAAAAAAAAACAAAAAACGGCGTTTCTAACTGTCATACACCATAGAAAAAAAGGCATTGACTTGTATCATGTGCCATACTGGGAACATACGAAGAAAAATACTACAGAATATGGCAATATTAAAAATATTACTCGAACAGAAAATAATATATTAACCGACAATTTTAGACATAAAAAAAAGGGAACAAAACAAACCAAAAATTCAAAGTGCTCAGTAATTTCCAGGGAGTTATGTATATTATGAGCACTCTGGAAACAGTTTATGTATATTATAAGCACTCTGGAAACAGTCAAAAGCTGCTGCATGCAAGATTTGTTTAGCTTTAGACAACAAAATAATCAAGATATAAACTTCTTTTTTAATCAACATCAACAGTACATACAACACTTACAAACAAGGAATGTCGGACGGTGTTTACAAACACTATGTGTCCCTTTGGGGAGGATTTGGGGGTTTGTAATACTTGTGCCCACCTATTTTACAATTGAGAAAATGTTTGAAGCTTAGATAACTACCAGTCTTTATAAAAGCTAACAGACTACATAGTGTCTGAAATACTATTTATAGAATATAGACATTACTGAAATAGCAAGTGCCTATAACATTGTCACCCTAGAATCGTCATGCTTTCCTGGTACGGAGGGATTTATTTTTCTTTCTCTTTATTCTCCTTTTTTTTTTTTTTTTTTTTTGCAAACCTGTTTAGCTTTTATTTTTAGGGCTTTTTTAGAATTGTTTTCCATATTTCTTCATAAATAGGCACAGAATAATTTTTAAAAAGCCAAACTGCATCTGATAAATTTACAAGCCTTCGCCTTCTTTAATGACATGCCACCCACGCAACATTTAGGTTTTGTATATATTACAGCTTTCTTTTACAGCAGAAAACTTTAGTCTGTAGGAGGGTGAGACTTGTGGGTCACCTTAACGCTTTGTTTGTCACCGTATGAGTCTTAGCTGCGCACCCGGCGTTGCCAGATATGTTCATCTTTTTAATCAGAAGTCCTTAATAATAAATTCATTTATAAGCTGATAATAAAAAGTTTATACCATGGTATTTGTGTAGTCCATGATCTGCATCCGTGATGCCCCAGAGCCAAAATGCCCGTTCAGGTTCTGCCTGCAGGAGGTTAGCAACACTGTTTTGGATGGGAAGCTGGCACCCAGAGGTGCTGCTTTGGGCCCAGACGAATTCCCCTTCAGACAGGTGAAGTTTCTCTTCAGTTCAGTGGGAGTGCATGGGAAGAGTCTTAAAAAGGTAAAGTGTCCAGAAAAAGTTTGTCGATTATTGCTGGCGGTGGCACCAAATCTTCCAGTTTCAGGTAGAAAATGCGTTGCAGCCCCTGCGTGCAAAGCGTGCGAAGTTCAGGGAGCTTCCCCAAGAGTTTGGACAAGTAGTTGGGGCGATTCAGCCCCCCGTTATTAAAAGTCACATGGTCTTTGAGACAATTTACAATCTTGTTTTGAAGTTCTTCCACCCTCTTGGGTTCTTTAAGCCCATGCCTCTCTGCAAAAGAGAAGGATGCGGGACGTTACAGGTCTGACAGGGAGAGGAAGGCGGGCGGAAGGGAAAAGGAGCTGCCCGGTGGGGCCGAGCAGAAAAGAGGGGACACTGACCTGTGACCATAGCCAGGGCAGCGATGCAAGAGAAGGCAGAGATGTCGATGTTCATGTTTTGCAAGTTGGAGGAAAATTCAACAATGGAATCGATCCACTCCCCAAAGCCGCGGACACACTGCAACCGGTGCAGGACTACCCCGTTGCAGAAGATAAGCTTGCCCTCCACTGGATTTGACCTGGAGGGAATGTGACAAACCCAAAATGAACAGATGAATGAATGAGTAAGAAAGAAAAAATTAGATAGAGAAAAAGAAAGAAAAGAAAGACAGAGAAGGAGAAAAAGAGAGAAAGGCGAAAGATAAAAAAGAGAAAGAGGAGAGAAAGGAGAAAAAGAGAAAGAAATAAAGATAGAGAGAAAAATCAAATAGAGAAGAGAGAGTGAAAGAGAAAAAAGAGAGAAAGGGAAAGAAAGATTTAAAAAAAAAAAGAAAAAGACAAGAAAAGATGAGGGGAGAAAAGCTAAACAACTAATTACTTGAGGAGCAATAAATGAAGGATTTAAGAGGCACCTAATTACCGAGGAGTTAATAAAACGCAGATCAGTGGACCTTGAAAGGATCCGATTTCATGATCGCCCAGAAGTTCCCCCCTCGGATTCTGGCCGCTTACCTGTATGCCAGCCGCAGCACGAACAGCTCCAAGAAGGCGGATTCAAAGAGCAGGTCCTGGTCCGTTTTAGGAAGATCAGTGAAGCCGGGGATTTTTTCTGCCCATCCTCGGATGATCTCCATGGAGCCGGTCAAGAGATCATAGAACTGCTGGATGTGCTGAGTGTCGTCTCCGCTCATCTGGTAGTCGGGGTTAGCCTGGAACTGGAAATTCATTTTAAAAAGCACTTAATGAGGTTCTCTAGAGTATATAACCCGTGAAATTGCTAACCCCGTTTCTAGTCGGGGAGCCAGGTTTTTATAACAATTACACCTCTCTCTGACTGCTGGATGTGCTGAGTGTCGTCTCCGCTCATCTGGTAGTCGGGGTTAGCCTGGAACTGGAAATTCATTTTAAAAAGCACTTAATGAGGTTCTCTAGAGTATATAACCCGTGAAATTGCTAACCCCGTTTCTAGTCGGGGAGCCAGGTTTTTATAACAATTACACCTCTCTCTGACCAGTAAGGAAATGAGACGTTCCGGGGCAATCAATTCAATTAGGAACGGCGCTACCCGCTCTCCACACGCAGAGGGCGGTTTCTGCGCGGCCCCAGGCCCCAGCAGCCTGCGCGGCG